TTTACACCGTCCAGGGTAAAAGACGCCTCATCACTGAATAAAATGACGCTTAACAGTTCGGGATGAGCTTTTATCCAGTGGTACAAATCCATACGCTGTGCATGGTCGCCTGGTTCCAGATGTTGTACCCTTTGACCATGGTAAGGATACAATTCTTCATCATGTAAAGTTCGCCACACCTGCATATGTGATACGCCGATGCAGAGGCTATTCTACGAGTGGACAGACGCAGACTTCTCTGGACCATCTCAAGAATGTTCTCTCGTGTGTTTCTCATTCGTACATCCTTCCTTTCGGAGTGCACAGAAACACTCGGAAGAGAACCAGTATCACGCAATGTATGGTGAATTCGCGTAAATACACTTCGAGATGGAATCCTTCGATCGGGAAAACGCCTTTGGTATTCTTCAACAGCAGCACGTGCATTGCTACCGCAAAATCCACACACAAAATGCATATCACAATATTCCACGTGTGAAAACACAAGAGGCATTTCAGCAACTCATCACACAACTAATTTACCAAGCATTCACGACCCCGCCGCAACGTACGCTGTAGGTAGCGCATGAGCTTACGACTAGTGTGAATCACCACACTCAAGGACAAACATAGATAAGACGTCTCAGCTGACAGGTATAGTGCGTGGACCCGCCAGAAGACCACACTTTTCTCGAGCAATTATCTCCGTAACCGTTCAACTTTGGACATAGGTGTTTTGGGTTATATCGGCATACTTTAACATAAGGAACGCCCTCCCGAAGTTTGGTACATTCCTCCTGGGACACCCTGTATATAACTACTATTGCTATTAAAATGTGAACAGTATTTAAAATTCAGAAATACAAACTGGCCATCATATAAATCTGAGATATAGATTTAGAAATAAAAATTTCGTTAAAACTTTATTTAAAAGAAAATTTTGCTATGCCAAAAAGGTTTCCCTTTGCTGTCGCATGATATTTTGTACATTTTTGGTATCACCTTCCCAAATTCTACTCCTTTCAAATATCTTGCCTTCAAAGCATTATATAGTTCACTTATATTAACATTGCATGTCTGATCCTAATCCGTTTGTTTTGGTGAATGTGGAATGAATTGTAACTATGAAATAAAAACCATTACTCATATTGAGAGACAGGTTAATTATAATGTGTCATTTTTATCTGGTTTCATACTGAAATATGTATTACTTCACCATTTCATTGTTAGTAGAAATAATTGCTGTCTTTCTGTTGTAGGCTTCGGTATATTAGACTTTTTCACTGCAGGTAATATTTATGTTTAAATTTTTTAGACTTTCACGGCAATTCATTTTTGATGTTTCTGTTTCCTCTGAGTTGGCTGACACATGTGTTACCAAATTGTTGTGCTTGACTCCACATTGAAGTAATTTGCGGCTAACGGTTCAGTCGAGGCTCAAGGGAACAACTTTCTGTTCTCGTTGCCAGGAGCGGGTTTCTTGGTTCACCTATACCGGGCCGGAAACGCTTCCCTTCAGATCCACAGTACCATTATCACCATGGTAACACCAGCCCTCTAGTCCTACAGAGGTTCTATCACCAACAGAACCAACATTTGTATCACCACCACCATAATTTAAATTTAAATAGCTATCCCATTCAACAGTCATTAACTCACCAGTCATGTACAGACTCTAGCAACGAAACTCAAAAGCAAGATGACAGTAGTGGTGTAGTTAAGAAACGTTTTGCTTCGTATATCAAGTTCCATCTTGGTGGCGGGGACTCACGGAGTCGGAATCTTCCGCCCCCTCGGCCCATCCGACATACTTCACCCGGCCCCACATCCCGTTACCCACCCCCTAGTCAGAGTCCAGACCCTCCCCCACGGCACAACAGGGGCTCCTCTACCCCTGCAGATACTGGTACCCCTGGAGCCGGTTCGTCTCCTCTTCTGGTGAGACGGAGTTTCCTTGATGTCTCGCCTGTAAGAAGAGGCTTTGTAGAAGGCTCACCATCTCTCTCTAGAAGGTAAGTTGAAGGGCATGTTACCTAAGTATGAAATGTTTTCTTAGTCCGATTAACTTTTCGTCTGGCAAAGGAATTTGCCATTAATGTATGTGTCTGTGCATCTCTGTCCTGAACTCACTGACTGTACTACAGTGTGATCCTGCCTTCATGAGACCAGCACTTTTGAAGGAACCAATTACTTACTTATAAACATAGTAAAGTTGTTATATTTTAGCGTCCTGTTGCACTGATTTAAGTCCATGATTTATTATATCTGTCTTCTAGTGCATACATTTATTTATCCCCTCTTTTCACTCTCACTACATGTTTCGGCACCAGTGTGCCATCTTCAGGTGCTGATCCAATCCACGACAAACTAATTCATTGCATGCCTTGTCTTTACATACTAAAATAACTAAAATATATATTTATCATATATA